CATGCTGTGAATCATAATTTTCTTACCTAAGCTAAAATTAGAGAATTTTTTTAAAAATCTGATGAAAAGTTTGAAATTTCTTTTTCAGTTTTTACAGTAACTGTCATTGCCTTCAATTGTCAAAAAAAAGGAATAAAAAAAGTGAATAACAAAAATTAAAAAAGAACAATTAAATAAAAAACAAAAAATAAAACTTTAAACATATAAAATTTAGAAATGTTTTTTCTTCAATTTTTTAAAACCATTATAATGTATTTTTGAAGTACATGCCAAATAGACTAAAATATCATATATATATGTGTGTGTGTGTGTATCAAATGTATGTGTGTGTGTGTGTGTGTGTGTATATATATATATATATATATATATATATTTATATATATATTATTTATATATTATATATGCACAGTACTTATTGGAAAGCGCTCAATATCAGGGATAGAGCTAACATATTTAGTTGGACTGATATGAGTTTGTGACCCTGGGTTTCACGCTCTCTGCGATCATCAGATAAACTGATTAATTTTCGAAATTTTGGATTTATTTATGGTTGCGTACATCAGTTTTTTATGGTAGTGGGAGGAAAAGTTATCGTCGGAACGCCACTCATATGTACACAGACTTAAATACATGCACATTCACACATTGCAGCTCACACAAACATATATGAACAGTGTGGGACTGGGCGTATATGCGCTTTCATGTGTCATTGCGTGCATACGTATGCAATTGGTTGCTGTATTTAATGTTGGATTGTGTAGCGAACTTCTTTCGAAGTGGCAGTGTCAATGCAGAGATTGTTTGTCTATTTTGTTTGTGGAATAATGTTTTCTTGCACATACATATATACATATGCACGCGCATTGTAACAGAGAGTTTGGGAAACACACACACACAAATATTTTTTTTATTGAAATTGGAGTGAATCCGAGTAGCAAAATTAGATCAGAGCAATTTTGTTTACTGAGGGGAAATCTGATTTAGCCCATTTGGAATTGGGTCATTAGAAAGACAATGGAAAATGGTCGAAATAATTTTTATCAGTTAAAATTTGAAATAGAGCTTACTAAAGCTATGAGGAACTTTGAAATTCACATGATTTGGGGTTGACAGCAGCACCCGTGAGAATCGCGTGCGGGCCAAGGGTCGATTTATGATCAACTAGATTTATCTATATAAACACGTAGTTATGTTGAAGAAGAGGTAGACGGTCAAGGCAGACAGAAGAGGCCACAATCAGTCGACATGTCGTCGTCGCTGCATGCCGTCACGTGCGTGGGCACCCGCAGGCAACCGTTACGGGTGCGGTGCTACAATAATCAGAATGGTTGGCTCATCTGCCATCAAGTACCGTTGAGCTGGGTGGAGAGAGATCAGAGATTGAAATTGAAGTCAGAGATTGGAACCAAACGCACGCTAACATATTTTGTTGATCTAAGTATGGAGAAGCAAATTACTCCTCCAATATCTAAGACTGCTACTGCTACTATTATTACTACTACTGGAAATGGAAATGTTGAACAAGCTACAATAATCAAAAGGTTGTTTTTGGGCTCATCTGTCATCGAGTGCAGTCGAGCTGGGTGGAGCAATATTGGAGATTGAAAGTGACGTCAGGGATTGGAACAAAACTTCCGCTAACATGTACTGTTAATATAAGTACCGCTGCTTCTGCTACCATGAAGATTACTACTACTACTGTTACTACCGCCAAGGAGGAACGCAACTATAAACTTTAAGCCACACAGAAATCTTTATCTCTCCACCACAAGAGTCGCATATCGTTCTGAGATGATTTAACAACAAGTTAATCACAACCCTCTCTCTCTCCGTCTAGAATTCAGTGTATGAATTTTTACATCAATTACTTTTCTTTTCTGTAACCTGTTTCTTTTCTATACTATTCTTTTCTGCTACATAAAAAGACATACACAATTCAACCATTGAATAGTTGTTTGTCCGGCTTTCTGCGGATATATATATTTTTTGGTGCATTCTAAATTTCTTAGCACAGACTTTCCAGCCGTCTCTACATCTTCAGTCGACCATGAATGAATGAACATCACTTCTGCTTTCTGGATCAAACCAAACACAACGTGAGCAGGAAGCAGGATTAAACCAGTGGACCGGTTGAATGATCTATGGATGCTCAGGGGACAGCCATTCCCTTAAGTTCAGTTAAGACCGAGTAGACACCTCAACCCAGAGAGTAAGACGTCGGAGGTTGAGGGACTGGGGCAAAAGTGTTAAAGCATTCACACACCTTCTATCCGTCAGTTTTTTTTCTGTTTTGTTTTTTTTTACTTAAGATGGGTCTGTGTAAGACTATGGTAGTTAAAATTGTTATTATTTTAAATTTTTTAATGCTGTTTTGTTATTATTTTAAAGCCGGTTATTTGCTTGTTTTTTTGTGATTACACTTATGTAAATGGTGGAAACTCCAATTTATAATGCTTATTGGCATTTATATAGTGGTATTAATTTTGCTGGTGGGGTGGGAAGGAAGTATAAATGTGGAATAATGCAGCAATGGTAATTGTGGTGGTGAAATAGTTGGAATGTCAGGATAAGTGGAGATAAATGATAAGAAAGATGATAATTATAATATTAGATAAATTAATAGTAAGACTGAAATAATAATTACAATATGTACAATGTTGGGAGCAAACAGTAATTAGAGTGGTGACAGTTTGTGGAGGTGGTATTGATGTGGTTGTAATGGTGGGGAGGACATTCCTAAACTTAATAGAAAAGCACTTCCCTACAACAAAAATGCAATCAAGGAACCTCAATGCAACTGCAGAAATAAAATGAGATGCCCACTCCAAGGAACTGACAACAAACAAATATAATATATAAAGCCAAGGTAAGTGCAAACAGCACAATGTACTACATTGGTGCCACTGAGGGACCATTCAAGAAAAGAAAACACAACCACGACATCTCATTCTCCGACAGAAAATATTCAAACAGCACTACACTATCCACATACATATGGCATCTAAAAGACAGAAATATTACACCAAGAATAAGCTAGGAAATATTGAAAAAACACACCTGCCTACAACAACACAACAAAGAAATGCCTACTTTGCCAACACAAAGATGTAGCAATAATTTCCCACACCAACAAAAGAAATTACTAAATATAAGATCAGAAATAACTTCTAAATGCAGACATGGAAACAAATGCCTATTATCACAATTTATACCAAATGGAAAAAAACTACTACATAAACCACCAGTGACCCTATAAACATGAAAAGTGAAACCACTGACACCATAACACCATCAATTATTTTCAAATTCAAACTACAATCATAATAATTATAATTATTATTACCATTCTACAACCATTACTACAATCACTTCTACCATTTTACCATAACTCTTTGCTGCTACAATTGTTATTATCATGACTGCTCCCCTCCCATTACAACCGCACCAATACTACTCCCACAAACTGTCACCACTCTAATTACAGTTTGCCCCAACATTGTAAATATTGTAATTATTTCAGTCTTGCTATTAATTTATCTAATATTGTAATTATCATCTTTCTTATCATTTCTATTTCACCACCACAATTACCATTGCCCTATTATTCCACAATTATAATTCCTTTCCCCACCACCAGCAAAATTAATACCACTGCATAAATATCAATATGCATTATAAATTGGAGTTTTTACCATTTACATAAGTGCAATTGCCAAAAATAAGCAAATAACTGGCTTTAAAATAACAAAAGAGTATTAAAAAATTAAAATAATAACAATTTTACCTATCATAGTCTTACACAGACCCCCATCTTAAATAAAAAAAAAACAAAAAAAAACAGATGGATAGAAGGTGGGTGAACACGTATGCATATGTATATATATGTGTGTGTGAGAGAAAACATTATTCTGTGAACAAAATAGATTAAAATGATCTGTGCATTGACACTTGGAAAGAAGTTCGCTATACAATCCAACATTGAATATTGCGAACAATTGGGTACGTACGCATGCAACGACACATGGATGTGCATATACACCCAGTCTCACACTGTCCCTATATGTTTATGTTTGTGTGAGCTGTAATGCATGAACGTGCATGTATTTAAGTCTGTGTACATATGAGTGGCGTTCCGATGATAATTTTTCCTCCCACTACCATAAAACACCGATATAAGCAACCATAAATAAATCCAAAATTTCAAAAATTAATCAGTTTGTCTGACAATCACAGAGAGTGTGAAACCCAGGATCACAAACTCACATCAATCCAGCTAAATATATTGGGTTCATTATAGTCACTTACTTGGGAAAGGTATGAATCCACCTCTTCTTCCTCCAGCTATATGTTAATTAATAAGACTTGTATCAATAAATCATTATTATCTCAAAAAAAAACAAAAAACAAAAAAAACTCTATGCCAGAACAGACACAGAGGGAAATTTCCCCTCCCACCACCAAACATAGTCAAACAATAGATCCAATTTTAAAAAATAAACCAGTTTTCTGATGATCGCAAAATTGTGAAACCCACTCTCACAAACTCATATCCATATAACTGAATATATATATATATATATATAACAAAATAAACATGGTTTAAAATAAAACCAGGATGTTTATTTCAAATTAATCAGATATTTTTAGCATTTCAAAAGTTATTTTTAGAGGAAACCCGAGTTTGAAATAAACATTCTGGTTTTATTTTAAACCATGTTTATTTTGTTAATCAGCCTTTGGGTCTGCGCACTCAAGAAATCTTATCTTCTCTAAACTGAAATGTCCCCAAATTAGGGATACAATCCTCCTGCTGGAGAGCTCATTTTCTTTATTAAGATTTCTAGAGTGCAATACTAGGCTGATAGACAAATGAAATAATCACTGTTTAGAAAAAAAACAGTCATCTATTTCAAATATGGGTATCCACTAAAAATAAAATAATGTGTGTGTGTGTGTGTGTGTGTGTGTGTGTGTGTGTAAAAACCAGTTCAAGTACTCACTTTTGGTTCTTTACATTTTCTGTGCTCTTATCGGATACACATCCTCCAAAGACATTGCGAAGCATAGACATGATTTTCTGGCAGCCGGCATTTAGTCGTCCTGAGTCAGCAGCATTGGCAACATCTCAGGGGGCAACCCAGGCAGGTCCTCCTCATCACTAGTGCAATTCACACAGACAATGATGGTACATTAACATACTTTCAGACAGCATTTCATGGACTTGGAACAGTAAGACAGTGTTGGTGTGAGCAGCTGGCAGTGTGTTGGAAGCAATGGTAGTAAGTGTAGTTGTGGCAGTAGAATAACAAGCAGCTGCAGTTCTAAGTGCCAGTGATACCATCGTCAAGCATAATATGAAGTGAAGGCACCCTGAAAGAAGGGGGAAAAAATGGGGTTATTATTATCTGGTCAAACAATTCCTTGTCATGTTTATTAAAAAATAACAGATGTGTAAAAAAAAATTTAAAAAAAAAACAAAACAAAATCTTCTGCCTAAAAACTGCAAAAATAAGGACATTAGTCTGAATATGAGTGTAAATAAAAAAAAAAAAAGTTTTAAACAAAAACAGTAATTAAAAATTAAAATATAATATTTAAATTTTTGAAGATCAAAGTTCTGGAAAAAAAGAAGCCAGAAGAGAGTTCCCCAAGTGAGAAATGTGATAGAAGAAATTGTTATCATAGAACCTAGGGTTACATCTAGCTATTTCAATTGTAAAATGATGAAACCTTCCCACCAATCTAGTACTGCGCTTAAATTTATACAATCTAGGTGTCATAGAGGAAAGATGATAAGAACAATTTACACTATTTACATTGTTTGGACTGTTGTCCTCATCTTTATTGTCATATTCACAACATTTCAGCAGTTGTATGCTCTGGCCTTCTCCAGGTGTTATATGTCGGAATTTCAAACCAAACCCTTTATTTACTTATCATGAATATAGACAATAAAGATGAGGACAACAGTCCAAACAATGTAAATAGTGTAAATAGGTACAATACCTAATCTCACAAATATAGACAGATGTTCAGAAGAACAATAACCATGAAAGTATTTATAGAAAAGGCACAGAGAAGCTATTTTAAGGCAGTGGGAAAGTGACTGAAGCTGAGATGCCAGGGCAGGACCAATGATATTGCATATTCTTCTTTGGAATTTTATTTAATAAATCTTAGTGAGATCACACATTGTATATACAACTACATATTTGTTTAAAAACATGTCTGTCACTTTTTAACATATTATTTTGTGTTTATATCAATTCCATCATAAAAGATTTTGCAAGTAGGACTATAATTTATGCTCAACATAATGAATGTAATTTAGAGAAGACCAAGTTTAAAAAGTTTTTATCATAATGCAAATATATTTGAAGAACAATTCTGAATTAAACTGATAAGGTTTCTCAATATATCAACTCAACTCCACTAATATTTTCAAATTCAGCCTTATCATGTACACTTATTTGAAAAGTTACATATTTTTTTCTTCCTCTTCATATTAAATAATAATAATTATTATTATTTCATTTTTCTTTAAACCAGGAGTTCAATGAATTATAATTTCTTAGGATGCAAAATGCATCATTTATAATGGGATATTGAAAAGTTCTTAGCTTGCCCCATGTGTAAAAATCTGACCAAATCAATGCTTGCTGAATGTTTATGGAGATCAAATAATGAATGTGAGCATAGTTAGGTGGTGAGAAATGTATTTCAAAAACTACATTCCAAACAGAGCCACAAAATGAAGAGTTCTTGTTTATCACTGATGACAATGCATAGCCAGTAGTGGTGCTTATTGTGGAAAAATACTGAGCTGGAGCCGAAAACCTGCTCTAATCCAACAATGCTATTTTGCTCTCTATATCTACTGTGCACTCCATTGAAATAAATTGGAAATATTACTTTCAGACTGTCCCTAGCACATACTGTTTAATAAATAAAAAAGATTTTTAAGTTTTGTCAAATTTTGGTAAGTGGATCAGGTCGAGTGCCTGTACACACACAATTCTTTACTCCATGATTTATGTATCAAGTGGAATGTGCACGCACACGCACACACACACGCACACACACACACAATCATAGGCTGCACAAATGTCACAACACTCACTAATTCTATGAAATTCACCATTTGTCTCTACCTACCCTGATGATGACTTAAGAAAGTTGAAAGCTTGGACCATATTTCTACCGAAATGAAATTTGGACAATTTCTGACAGAATTTCCTCCTGATCTGAGAAGGATTATTCATAATTTGGAAAAGTCGATCAATAATATTAATTGATACAAAACCTGTTGTCTTTAATAACATTTGCCATATATATATATATATATATATATATATATATATATATATATATATATATATATATCAGTGGTGAATCGAAGGTTGGGCTCAGCAAGTGAATCAACATTCAAGTATATCTATTTCAAAGCAAGAAAAGCCTCTCATAATGTGTTGTTTTCATTCTTGACTTCAGCTGGATCCAAAATTGTTTTAACTCTGTGCCTCAAAATATTGACCGAAATACATTTCATTGATATTGTTCATAATGAAGAAGAAAGAAGGAAGAAAGAAAATAAACAAGAAAAGAAAGTAAGTAAAAAAAGAATGAAATATAATTAATGTGGCTAGTCAGGCTGCATAGATCTGAACCCTATCGAAGCTGAAGACATACTTAATAGGCAATGTATTGCTTGCCTTAATTCTATAGATAATGTTTTAAAAATCTCTAATGATTTGTATGTCCTGTTTTTCAAAGAACACATTTTTATTTTAACTTATTGTCTTCCAATGTCCATTTTAAATAATTTATTCCATACAGTATAAGGTTTTTTAACAGAATGTATGTTTCAAGAAAGGCCAAATTAAATTTAGCCCAACTTAAATTTAGTGAAAATCAAACAAAGTGGTAGCCTTAACTTATTGATGGAGAGTTGGGATGAGGAGTGTGACTGGGGTAATGTTGAAGAGATATGATATTAGTCAGCAGTACTGGTCATAAACATACAATTAAACTAAAATTCACAGACAGATACTTAAACACATAGACATTTCTACAAACACACACCCTACCATCAGTGACTTGATAACCAGGCTATAAAACAATAAAAAATGGAAAGCGGGCAATAAACAGACAAACATATCAAAGACTTTGTCTTTACTCTTTTTTTTTACATGTCTGGAAAATTTTTTTAAAATAAATGTTTATTGTTATAGAATTATTAAGATTAATATTAAAATACCAAAATGTGTTTTTATTTTTTAATTTCAAGCACAGAGATTTCTTTAAATTAAATATTCTAGTTAGAGTAAATAGATCATTTGAGCATCTAATTTATACCAATATTATATTTTGTTAAAGATTGTAATGAGCCTGACAAATATTGATGACCTAAAGTCACCAATTTATATATATATATATATATATATATATATATATATATATATATATTACTGATACTATTCGATAAAACGAATTGTGTTCTCTCAGGCACTGGCATGTTTATCTAAAAATAAATACACTTAAATTCACCTTCATCCCTGCCATGTGCCAGGGGTAGATTTTCTGAGTGTCGCCAATTCAACTGTTTCAAACCTAGCTAGAGGCTACTGGATATCTAGCCACACTGACGAGCTTTGATGCAGCAAAACAGTCTATCTATGGATGACAATATATATATATATATATATATATATATATATATATATATATATATATATATATGCATGTTTCATTAAAAACGACAGACAAGGTAGTATGGTTAAGCTTTTTATTTAATTTTTCTTGTGTTCTAACAAGAGCTTTCTTTTCTGAACAAAGAGTGTGTAAAAACTGTCCAAATGTTTTATAGTTCCGAGCGCTTTCAGCTATACCTTTAGCCATTATCAAGGATGATTCAATTTTTCAACTTAATTGAGTGTGTGCATTATGTGTATGTCTTAGTGTGTAGTAGGGATGTTTTAATTTCCGAATACGGTTAGCACATTGTGGCCTTGTTCGTAGTTAATATTGTTAAGAGTTGGCTTTTTCTTTTTTTATTATTAAAGCTTCCATTATTTTTAATCTTTTTTTTACAGGTGGATGCACTTAATATATTTGTGTTTTCTACTAGTATGTTTCTATGCTATATGCCATTTAATTCTTATTGATAGAAGATATAACAGGTGTAAGCTAAAAAAAAAACTGTCTATTTATTTGTAATGAATGTTATTTGAGATGCACAGGCCAAAAGATAAGTTTTAAAAAGTGAATTAAGATTTAAAAGAAGAAAAAAATGGTTTTAAACCGTTTTTTAAGTTCTGAGTTATACTTCAAACTTCATTTTTATTTCAGTTCAGTTATGTGCCATGTGTGATACACACTTAGGTGATTATGTATCTCTCGATACATGACTGACAAGGCAGATTTTTCTTTTTCCCGCATTAAGTTGACATTTCTTTCTGTGGTAGACCAGTTTCTATCCAAGGCTATAGAACTCGGTTTGTCCTGCTATTTATCCATAGCTGGGGGGAGAAGAATAGGATCCTTACCTTTCCCAAGGGTACTGGCACGTAAATGAATGTAATGCATTCAACAGGAATTTGAACTCGGCTCTCTGATTCCTCAATCCAAGCCACTATCCATTACTCCACCATACCTTTAGTTGCCTTTTATTGCAAAAATGTCTGGAAATATATTGACAATAGTGCTGCTTGTTTGTTTATACAGTAAGTTAGTCTGACACAAGGTTGCAATAACAGAGTGCCCGTGAATATTTGTTCTGTGTGATGAACATCAACCATCATGTTCATGACCGTCACTTTCAATCCCTTTAAAATGAATAAAGATTGATCAAAGAGAAACACAGTTTTTTCAATTTAAAGTTCACAAACAAGTGTCTGGACTTTTCATGGATTTTTAGGTGCTAAGTCTGGTTTGGTTAATTAATTTTTATACTTATGTAAGCATAAGTTCTCTTCTAATAGTTTTTTCTCTCACACTTCTCACCTGTGGAACTCTTCCAATTTCTTGCTTCTCGTATCTATATTTCTGAGATGAGGTATTATGTACATTATT